GTCCATATGGGTTTTATCATTGTATTGTAAAGTTGCACTTTATATGTGAGATTAAGTTTAGAATTTTTGTTTATCAGCCAGTTTAGTTCTTGTTGTTTGAGTTTAATTTGGGTTACTTTGGTTTCTATATGCTTTTTCCACGTAAGCCTTCGGTCGAGGTGCATTCCTAAGTATTTTGTGTCATTGCATTGTGGTATTACTTTTCCATTAATACGAAGGGCAGGGCAGGTATCTCGTCGTAGTGTGAAAGTTATGTGTACACTTTTCGATTCGTTAACTTTTATTCTCCAGAGATCAAGCCATTTTTGCAGTTTGTTGAGGTGGTCTTGAACTGATTTTGTGGCTGTGAATGGGTCGTTACTATGGCTGAGAATGGCAGTGTCAACCGCAAATGTTGATGTTGTTGTACAGTCACTGGTTGGCATGTCTGCTGTGAAAATCAGGTACAGTAAGGGGCCCAGTACACTACCTTGGGATACACCGGCCATAATGGGGAAGGCATTGAAGACAAAAGAATTTTGTTTTATAACAAATCTTCTATTTGAGAGGTAGTTTTTGATAACTGAGGATATATTGTATGGTAAATGTTTCTCAAGTTTCCAAAACAATACTGCCTCTTCTCAAACGTTTCCTTAATTACTCGTACTATGCGGTGTACTTGTTCTATTGTGTTGTGTTTTTCTCTAAATCCAAATTGGTGGTTAGGTATTATTCTTTTCTTATTTATATATGGCATCAGTTGTTTTATAAAAAGTTTTTCAAATAATTTTGAGAGAATTGGAAGTAGACTTATGGGTCGATATGAGGTGACTTGAGCGGGGTCCCTTCCGGGCTTTGGTATCATCATGGTTTTGGATAGCTTCTTCTTTGGATATTAACGAAAATATCATTATTTAAAAATTTTTTGAAAATACAGCCCTGCATTTTCCAGCAACGTTGCTAACTTGGCGCTGGTTAAACATTTAGGTTTTAAGCCACACCATTTTTAATATTTGACAATTCTGATATGGTGAACAAATGAAAGATATTTTTGCGATATTACACAGGGACACAATTATTCAAAACTTCCTGTTTCTTTTCTTTATCTTCTTTGGTTTTTAGTATTTCTAAATTTATTATTTTAGGAAGTATTTCATTAGTATTTAATTATTATATAAATCAATTGTTTTTTATAAAATAATACTTAAGCATATGAAGACTAACTATTTTTAATTATTTCTTTTTCTCCCAAATGAACGAATCACCCTTTATTTATGACTGCGCCCAAAGAAAATAAAGAAAAGAAACTGATACGAAATTTTGAATAATGGTGCCTCTTTGTGTAATATCGCAAAGAAAATCTTATTTACCATATCGGAATTGTCAAATATTAAAAACGGTGTGGCTTATAACTTAAATATTTACTACATTTGTGGTTGCATATTAGCATGTAGCCATTTCTTCTAATTAAAAGAAATAGTATAAATTATTGTTCTTGGAAAATCCATAGTATATATTAATACGATTATAATGAGTAAATATAGGCATGATTTTTTATATCAGTTTTACTTCAATTTACACAAAAGTTTTAAATGCGTTATATAAATCAAATATAAATGAAGAATTGGTAAACTAAAATCAATAGTAATAAAGTAGCTATTATTGATATATGTAAATATGTATATATAATTAGTCATGAAATTGTTTTAATAAAGTTAAAAAAATTGTATCGTATTTATTAAAATAAAAGTTCTTTTAATCATATTGCACATATACATACTATATTTATATATATGCTGAGCACCTAATAGAAAAGTTAGTATGTGTTCATACATTTCGAGTATTAGGTTGCATTGTTTTAATATTTTGTTTAAAAAAGATTAATATTAATATAATTTTTTAAAATTCAAAAAAAGTTTGGTATATTGTAATACAATTTTTGCTTGTGCATCAAATTTTTTCAATATAGAAAATCGTAAAAATGTATATACTGTTTACTACTACATATTTTTTGTAGTTTTAAGCAATCCTTTCAGTAAGGTGAAATGTTTTTTGCATATGAAATTCAAGAAATTCTTAACTAGTTAATAACAACATTGTAAACAATAAGGATCAATTTCATCGCATTGTGTTAGAAGAAATATTAAATATATAAGCATTTTCCGCACCACCTAAGAGGTATGCTTGCTGGCGCGTTACCAAGTTTTAGGTGTTCGGTTCCCCAATAGGCCTATCCACCAAAATATTTTATTTAACAAATATACAATTTTATGTAAATACAATTTAGAATAACTTAATATTTACAAAATAATATTACTATTTTAAAAATATTTAATATTAAACCAAAAATAATAAGGAACTATTAAATTAAAGATAAATTATAAATAAATTTAATAAATTATAAAATTAAAACCAAAATATTTTTTGTTTAAGCAAAAAATCACTTAAAGAGTATGAACACTTTTGTGCTGTTTATAAGTGTTTAAAGCATAATTGTTTATGTTTAAAATTCGACACTTTATTATCTCGATTGAAATATTTTAAAATGAAGTAAATTCTTACTTTAATGAAAAAAGATAGAAGAGTTTCAATTTTGCAATTAAAGCAACATATATAGGGATGAACGTTTTTTAATTTATTAAATAAATGTTGCGCTAAACCTAATTTATAGCAATTGCTATCGAACTGATCCGAAAATTGTGTATCTAATTTTTCAATATATGTAGTAATATATGTATATATAATAACAACACTCAACCAAAGTATAATTAATAATATTAATTTCACTTCAGGATTTTTCCTTTTTTATAATTATTAGTATATCATGGAAAATATAATTTTGTAATCACTTTCAAAGTACTAAATTAAAAATAAAAGCACAACTGAATTCGTAGTTTATTATATACACTAATTAGGCACACATCTAAGTTTCTAATGTGTTAATACATTTATATATTTACTTTATTCTACAACAATAAATTGCGTTATTTTTAATTAATAATATACCTTCGATAATCCTTTGGAAAAAAATATAGAGATATTTGAAATTTAAACATCCAAGTACGCACTTCCGTTTCATCTGTAAATAAATTTTAATTAAATAATAACTCGTATATTTTTCTGGAATAATTACCTTTTTTTAATGCTTTTATAATTGAAAACAAATTCCGCCTTATTTTTCTTTCAGTAATGTGGTATTTGTGCACTTAATTGCAACTTTGGCGCATTTTCTCGTAACGGATTTTTAATGTCAAAAAACCAAAACAAACAACGAAATTTCTCAGAAACCTCTCTTATTTTAGCAAATATCGTGGTGAGTAGGGACTGGGTGGGCAAAGTAGCAGGGTCGGGTGGGGAAAATATTCACGTGCCATTATGTAGCATTAGGCTTTTTGTTATTGTACTACGTAATATTTTCACCTCATTACACAAAATTTTTGAATATTTTTTGAATAATCCAGAAAAATTTATACACAACTTTTCGAGTAACTCTGTTTCTTTTCTTCAACTTCTTTGACTGCGCCCTCAATTTCAAACTAAAAATTTAACAAATGAGTAATGTGTATTGTCATTAACTACTTTTAAGGACTGAAATCTAGTATCACTACGAGCCAATGAATTATATGCGCGGTCTCAGCTAGCCAGTACCTAAAGTTTTCACACTAAATTTTTTATTATTTCTATGGCTGGGCAATATTGTAAAATATAATTAAAATAAAAAATATTGCAATAACGTAGAGCAGTGTAAAAAAGTACATGAGTTATATCACGTAATGACTACGCAAAAATGGCTGTTCAGCAATACAGACAATACACAGTGGCCCACAGCTTATTTGATTCAGGCAAAAAATTTTTGAAAAATATTTTTTATTTCAAAATATATAGCAAAATTAAATAAAAACAAAGTATACAAAGTTATTATTTGTAGTGTTCTAATTCATTTCCAAAAACAAAAACCCGAAAATCTGTTTCCATTCCATAGTAATGCAACAAAAACCAAAAACAAGTAAAAAATTTATATTACAGCTTAAATGATGCAGTTAAGAGTACCGTATTTTTTAAATTTGGAAAAGGTTTAGAGCTATTTTTCCATTTAAAAATGATTATCCCAATATTCTGTGGACGGTTTCAGAATGACACGTCTTTCCTAAGTCTTTTGTGTCCACGTCTTCCAACTTTGGAGCGCTTGTTGTTGTATTTTTTCAAACTTAGTTTGATTGGGAGCTTTTCGACCCATATTTTTTGCACGATTTTTATGTATAGTGTTTTATTATATGGTCAACAGTTAAAGAGCTTGAATTTACTATTTTAGCTATATTACGTTGGGAAATTCCCTTTTTTAGATGCTCCAATGTCAAATCTCGCTTTTCAGTTGATGTACCCCGTCCCATGATTATTAAAATGCATGCACTTTAACTTTTTTAGTATTTTCCCTAAAAAATATGATTACAAATGATCGCAAAATAAGAATATTTTTATTTCCGTCTGATATGACGACGATATTAACGTTACTCTTAACTGCATCATGTAAGCTGTAACATAAATTTTTCATTTGTTTCTGGTTATTGTTGCATTACTAAGGAATGGAAAAAGATTTTCGGGGAAATAAATTAGAACACTACTAATAATAACTCTATATACTTTGTTTTTTTAATTTTGCTATATATTTTGAAATAAAAAACACTTTTCAAAAAATTTTTGCTTGCGTCAAATAAGCTGTGAGCCACTGTACTTAAATCAAGATATATTTGTTTTAGACACACATACTGAACCACATTCATGAGTTTCAAATATATTATTTTAACGCTTATTTATATGTATGAATTTATATGAATGCTTATATAGCAATAACATGAACTCATATAAAAAATATAACATACTAATTCCTTGATTCCATGCTTTAGAGTTCTTACTACCTAGTCTTTAGTTTACGAATTACAAATATTAAACGTTTGGCAGTAACTAAAAGTAATTAATCTCAGTGACCTAAAAATATTAAGTATAAATATTAACAAAACAAATTTTAAATTTAGATATTTATTTTATTTCTAGTATAAGAGAACATACGCTTAAAAGATTTTGGACTTAGAATCGCAGTTTTTGAAAGAACCACTTGTTCTTACCCTCTTTATACGTGGCTTCAAATTTCACACGAGTTTGGAATCGATGTGTTTTCCTTTTTGCGGGATCTTTTAAATCCTTAGGTGACAGCTTCTCGAAAGTAATATCATGAGCGGCATAGCGTGTAGGCATCAAATGATTGTAATTAAGAACTTTCAGGAATGGCTTGATCTTGGATTTCTTCTTCAACTTATTTTTACCCATTTTCTTTGTAACTTTGCGTGGGTATCTGTCAATACCTGCAACAAGTGCATGTCCGAAAGGTTTCTCTGCTGTGCCGACATCATCAGTTTTTACAATGATCGCCTTACGACCAGCGTAACGTCCGCTTAGAACAATTACTATTTTGCCCGTTTTCATAATTTTCCTCATCTTAGTTTCTGTTAAGCTGTGAACGAAAAGACAAACAATTAACTTTCACATACATATTTCTGTTCACAAAATACGTTAAAATTACGGACAATTTTTAAGCGTTACATAAAATAAATAACTTTTCCAACATAACTATTTTCAAAATACACCAATTTTTTCGATAGCATATGAGAGCTAAATTTTATTTTACAGAGAATTCTAGAACCATAATATGATTTCAACATTCTTAAACAAATATTAAATTATTTAATCTATTATTTTCTTCAAAATATTTTAGTCATATCAATAATTTTATGGATTAATAATTGTTAACCATTTACCGTCCGTATACAGTTGTTATGGCTGACCGGATACAAAGAACGAGAAATTACCTCACGTTGGAAGTTTAAGGTTTTATATGTACGAATGCGGTACAACACTAAACGAAACGGAATGGAAAATAAACATATACATCAAAGAACAATTTACGAGAAGATAGCGTCGACGATAAGTCCAAAATTGAATTGGAACAGTATTCTTCATATAAAGAAAAATTTATTATTTTATTGAAATGAATGCGGCAAACAGCATTATTAAGTAAAAAATTGAATTAATTTATTATCTGCATCCAACTTGATGTAATCTGTATAAAAAACGAAAAATTAAAAATCAGTCTCAAAAGATTGGGTCACTAATTTATTAATAACTTGTAAATTAGAGATACTATATTGTATATAGTATCTCATTTGAAAGAGGATAAAATTACCTTTCATATAATGAAAAATCTTTTATAAGTTGTTCTATTAACTTAGGAGCAGCGGTGCGATGAAGGTAGAGATGTCATTTTCAAATATTATTTAATTAAAACTTTATTACTTAACCGAATATTATAAATTAAAAAGCTTATAACAATAAAAAATAATTTTATTTTTCGAAGTATAATCGGTTTTTACATAATATTGATAAAATTTTCTTCAAAATAAGGGAAATAAAATTTTGTTAAAATAGGTCACATAACAAAATTAATTATAACTTTAAATGCAAGGGTTCCATTTTCTGCAAATTAGCTTAATTGAGAGAGGACACTTCAAGCTTTCATTTCAATATATATAATTGATATTCAATTATATAGACATTGTTGGATAATTAATTACTCAATAAATTTAAGATACATTACTGTTGAATTTATTTATTTTTAAATTATTATTTATATAACTTAATTTTTGTAAAAAAACACTTCTTTTTTTTTATGACAATTGTTGTTTACCCGTTGAGATCTTAAACACGACTAACTCAGAGCGAAATTGTAAAATTTACAAATGCGCTTTGAGAGAGCGATTATTAAGAGAAATTATATTAATTTCCTACAACATGGTCCGCCCGTTGAAAGGACCCTTTCAAACGTTTAATCGATAGGGAGTGGTGTAATTTTGTGGATAGGCTGGCGAAGCACACCCTGGTTAGTGCCAATATCCACTACACGAATCCTTCCATCTTTCCCTGTTATAGTTCCCACATGCCAGTGTTGTGATAGAAGATTGTCATTGTGAATAATCACCAAACGGCCAACAGTGATATTAGCTTCAGGTTTAAGCCATTTGGATCTAAGCTGCAAAGAGTGTAAATAGTGACGCCGCCACATTTCCCAAAACTGTTGTTTTAAGTATGTAACGAGATAAATATGATATGTTGGGTATTGTACAGTTTCTTTCAGGAATTGTAATTAACGAAGAACCTATTAACAAGTGTGCAGGCGTTAAAACCTCACCATCGTTCGGATCGTCTGATAATGGAATTATCGGCCGGGAATTTAAAATTGCTTCAGCTTCAATAATCACGGTTTGTAATTCCTCGTAAGTTAGACTAGACTGCGCCAAATTTTTTAATAATAATGTTTTGAGAGATTTCATCGACGCCTCCCAAAGTCCACCAAAATGAGGTGCTCTTGGCGGAATGAACTTAAACTCAAATCCAGTATTGTTGCTGTACTGTTGTATTTCTCTAAGCCCTTGCTGACTGAAAAATTGTTCTTTAAATTTATTTAGTAGAGTCTGCGCGAGTTAAGTCAGGATTACTTTGGTGGAATTTGCTTTAATTATTGAAGATTATGGCTGCGCCAGGTATATTTCGTCCCAATATGTTTTGTGGTTATCGTTATAGATTACTCCGTTAACAGCTACCTTGCAGTTCTGATAATGTATGAGACCTGTTCCTTCTATGTTTTGGGAATTATTTCTACAAGAGGTATTAATTATTGTTAGTGGTATATTTATAAAAACTATATAATTTTCCTCTGGTTGGATTATTTTTTCAATATTTCCCATATCATTTAATGAACATTCTGCTGGTTCATTTTGCATTAGTTTGGCTACACAAGTAGATTCTGGTGTGTTTTCTATATAACTGGACACCTTACAGTAGTATATATTTTGGGATACGGATATTGAATATAATATTTGTGTTATTATAGTAAGCTTGAAGGTTTAGAAGTTCATAAATATGTTCATCAGATTTAATTTCAACTCCCTGATTTTTGAAATGAATATGGAGTTCATCAAGTTCAGATGGATTGAGAATTTGTTTTGAGATTATATTAAGCTTTGCTAGTGTGATCGCCTCTGTTATGTCCATTATGTGGTTAGTGAGTAGATCTATGTTATAGTTTAATTGGTTTAGATATTGTAATTCGAATAAAATCTTCGGTCTGTTTTATTCTATTTGCATTAATGTTCAAAGGTTTTGTTATCTCAAGTTGTTCGTTATTAATGTGGTTTGTTAGATTTTTGAATCTTTGTATCATTTGCTTATTTAGTATATGTTGAATTTTTGTAATTGTAGTGAAATTTTCTTCGTTTATATGTATTTGTTTTATTTGTTCATTTAGTTCTATTGCGTCGTTTGAGTCCATGTTACCGGTAATGAATTTAATAAGCGATCCCACACAATTTATTAAGCCTCGTTTTTGTCTTTGTATTGGTGTAATTGTTCGTAATTTAGTTCTTAACTCTCTTAATTTGTATTCTGTTATGTCTATCGAGTCTAAGTGTGTTCCATGTTGACGAAAAGTGTCTAAGGTCTTGGAAATACTTTCCACATTAGATGTGTATTCGTTTAAATCTACAATGTGTATTAGGTTATTATAACTTTTAATTATTCTTGCTTTTCCTAGCCGTAAAGGTAAGATTCCCTCATTTTGGTTCAGATCTTTTACTTCAAATAATTGAGCTGAAATGAGCGTTATCCTGTAAGATTTAAATATTTCTTAAGTAAATTTGACTTGCTTTTTTATTCTGGATTTGTGTAATTTACGGTTATTTGTTGTAATAATTGTTATTTTGTTATTTTTCTTAACCTTACGTTTTGAGAATCTCGGTGTCATTTTATTTCTTTGACACTCTTTTCTGTATATGATTCGATTTTCGTCTAAGTCGATAGGCTCTACTCTATTTTCATTAAGTTTTTCTAACCGCTTGTTTGCATCTAGTTCTAGTTTACTTTTAATGGAAGGGTACAGAATTTCCTGAAATTCGTTCAGTTTCGTTATATAATCATGTTCATTGGTATATTTTATATTTTTATTAAATTTGTATGTTCTACCATAAAACAATTCGTGCGGGGTCAGTTTAGTGGCTGAGTGGATTGCATTGTTATAAGTGATTAATGTCTCTGTTAAAACTTCCTCATGATCTAGGTCTAATCTATTTTCTTTTCGTTTTGCTACGATTATTCTGTAAATTTCTTTTAGGGTGGAATGTAATCTTTCTACAGGAGAGTTACTGCTTGTGTGTTGGAAAGAAGTCGTATGTAATTTTATATTATATTGCCTGCAGAAATCTTTGAAAATATTACTCGTAAATTCAGAACCTTGGTCACAAATTAATTTTTTCGGTATTCCATGTAAACAGAAGTAATGTTTTATGGCTTTTAAGACTGTTATACTGGATATAAGACTGTTATGGTATATATGTCGATGTGCACTATGTCAAGAGGTATTGAAGGAATTTCGGGTTCTTGGAATTTAAGTTTGAGTGGTTTCCTATCGTATTTTAAAGTTTGGCATTTCTCAGTTGTTAATGGTTTTTGTCACTAACATATTCATATAAGGAAAGTAATATTGTCTTTTTAAGTGAAGTATGGTTTCGTTTATACCTCTATGATTATTTTGTTCATGGTAGTCTTTGATTATTTTTTCTTGGTTTTCCTCCTGTTGGATATCCTCCACTTTTTCTATACAACGTAAGACTTTGAAGACTTTACTGTGAGCAAAATATTTAGAATATACTGTTTGAACTTATCTGAATATTACATCTGAGGAAAATATTGCTACTAGTCTATTGGGTGAAAAATATTTTTTTTATATATATCTATTAGGGTTTCTTCACAAAAATTTGGTTTCCTGATTGTTCTTCTCTGTTTATTCCTAAATATTGTTTCTAGCATCATTGGTGATCCAGTTGATGATTGTTGTAACACTATCTGTATATTGAATTCGTTTAACGGTCTTTCAGATATGAAAATGCCGTCGTTCAAATTTTCTTCTGCAGAATGAATGGTTGTACCTTGCGTTTCTTGTATTGATGCCGCATCGTTGACGTTCACCTCTTCGGTTTCCATCGTTTCTTCGTTCTCCAATTTAATTCTACTCAAGGCGTCTGCATTTGTGTTAGCCTTTTTTTACCTTTTTTATACACTATTTTATAGTCGTATTCTTCTAACTTTAGTCTCCACCTGATAAGTTTTGAATTGGGTTCTTTAAGACTCATGAGCCAAGTTAATGGTTTGTGATCTGTAATTATTTTAAATTTCCTCCCAAAAAGATAAGGTCGGAAATATTTGGTTGCCCATATGATGGCAAGTAGCTCTTTTTCTATTGTCGAATAATTACATTCAGAATTGGAAAGTGTACGGCTGGCATAACATATTGGTTTGTCGCTACCAACAATACCTTGAGACAAGATCGCACCTAGAGCAACATTGCTAGCATCTGTAGTCAAAAGAAAGGGTTTAGTGAAGTCAGGGTATTGAAAAATAGGATCATTTAAAAGGAGGGTTTTACACATTTCAAAAGTTTTGACGTATTGTTCTGTGAGTTTTATAACTCTGCCCTTCTTCAGGCATTCTGTCATGGGTTTAATTAGTTTGGCAAAATCATTGATAAATTTTCTGTAGTATCCTAGAAGACCTAAGAAAGCTTTTACTTCTTTTTGCGTTTTTGGTATTGGGAAACTTTTTATGGCGGAGATTTTGTCCGGATTTGGTTTAATACCCTCTGTTGAAACAATATGTCCTAAAAAACATATTTTCGTTTTTAAAAATTCTGATTTATCTATTTGTATTTTGAAATTTGCAGATTTTAATCTTTTGAACAGTTCTTTAATGTGAAGTATGTGTTCGTGTAATGAAGTGGAGAAAATTATTATATCGTCGAGGTAAACGAGACATGTTTTACCAATGAGATCTTTTAGAACATTGGCCATTACTCGTTGAAATGTGGAGGGTGCGTTCTTTAACCCGAATGGCATGCGAATGTATTCATAGTGGCCATTTTCTACTGTGAACGCTGTCTTAGGGATATCTCTTGGATCCATCTCAATCTGGTGAAAGCCACTAGCAAGATCTAAAGTGGTAAAGCACATGCATTTCCCAAGTTTGTCTAAGATGTCTGTAATGTTAGGCAATGGATATCTATATAGATAGGTACGTCATCTGAAGTATTTATAGGATGTTTTACTTCGTGAAGCTTAATGAATTACCTTCTTTAAAAAATATTTCTTTATAATGTTTACAAAGGTTTAATAATTCACGTTTCTCCTCTTGGTTAAGATGGTCTGTTCTAAGTGTTTCAGAAATATTACATTGCGGCACCGGTTGTGTGTTACAAGTGTCCCAATTATTAATTTCGATCATTTCGGATGAAGGATAGGGTTGGGTTTTCAGTGGCTGTTCAACGAATAGCGTTTGGTCTTTATCTGAGTTATTATTAATTTCAATTAAACTAAACCAGTTTTTTGCTTTATAAATACCTTCAGACGTAACAAGATTAGGTAAAATTTGGGTTTGTTGTATGTAAATATCACCATTTTCGAGGTCAACTGGTAGTTTAAAAATACATTTTGAAAATGCTGGACCCAATTGCTTACCTGAAGTAAAGTTTGATTTCATTTTCAACATTATTATAGCTGCTGACGTAATAAGTTTTTGTTGCGGAAGGTCAATTTTCGCGTTTAAATTCTTAAGAATATCAAGTCCCAATAAGCCATCGAAGTAATAATGGAACTTGAATAAAAGGAATGTCAGGTAACCTGTTTGATTAAATTCTTTAAACATGGGGATAGTCACTTTTTTTATTATAGGGTATGATTTAAGAATTGTTGTTATCATGATGGGCTTCATACCAACTTGGTCTTCAGGGTTTATAAACTCAGGATTTATAAAGGAAGAGGATGCACCTGTATCTATAAGAAATCTCAAATGACCCCCAAATGGAGAATCAATTAGAATAAATGGGAGTGTTGTACCATGTTTGTTTATTTCTATATATCCTGTTGGTTCGTCGAGGCATGTATACAAAAATTTGGTTTGTCTTCAATATTGAAAAATTCTTTTGATTCAGGTTGTTGAGAAATACCATTAAAGTCGTTATTCCGATTAATGTTGTTAAGTTCCCTTGTATTATACCTAGAGTATCTATTAGGATATGGCTGATTGCGGTTATATGTTCTAGTGGAATGTTTGAAGTTAGTGGGTCCAGAGCTGGTATCCATTGGTTCTGGTTTCATTGATTTTGAGGGGTACCTACTAAATCCTGAGCTGGTATCCATACGCTCGGGTTTGGCTATATTTCTCTGTGGTGCATTCACATTAAATCGATTTTGGGAATTATTTCTGTAATTGTAGTAACTGTTTGGGTAATTATGCCTATTGTTGTGCCGGAATTGATTATATTGATAAAACTGTTGTTTATTATATCGAGGTGAAAAATACTGTTGATTAGTATGTGGCAAGTACTGGGTCCTAGCATAGAAGTTAGAATCTTTCTTCTGATAACATATGTTTTGCTCTTTTATGCAAAATGATAAGGCAGAAGGCAATGAATCTGGTCGCATTGCCCTAATACTAGAGCCTAATGGTTCTTTTAGACCAGTGGGAAAAGAATTAAGACACATTTCAACGAACAGTTCTTTCTTAGCCCTTATTACACTTTCGTCTTTTTCATGGATAAGGATATTGTTACTAAGTGCTGATTGAATTGCAATTATTTCATTATAAAATTCTTCTGGAGTGGTTGTTATCTGTTTTAGATTATGTAAATCTCTTGTTAGAGTTGTTTCGGTACGTTTGTCTGAATAGTGCAAAATTAGATTATTTTTAATGTCGTCCCAAATAAGTGGGGTTCCGTACATGTTTAAGATTTCATTGGCCTTTCCTTCGATTTTGTTTCTAATCGCTCTTAGAAGGATTTGGCCATAGGGTGTATTATCTGTTCCCCTAATAAAGAGTAAAATTTCTTTTACATTATTGATAAATTCGTATAGGGAATTTGGGTTGCCATCAAATTTTGGCAAAATATTAATTGCGTCTGAGATTCTTAGACTGTTGAAAATGTCCATAGGGGGTGAATTTTGAGTTTCTATCTGTGGCAAATCTTAATTTGACTCAATTTCTGGTATTCCTCCTAAACTTCTAAATTTTATTATTGAGTAGGGTGAAAATCGGGATTTCGAATGCATATGTTTTTTTGTTTATGATTTTACATACATATTTTTTTATTGTTCAATTTTGACTTACATGCATCCAAGATATACTGCTGTCTGCATATTTATAGTGTTATTCTTCTGATTGTAAAGGATTAAAATCCAGCAGTGTCGTGCACTTGTATATATTGTTTTTTTTATTTTGTGGTTAATCTTGTTGTTGTAAATCTTATTTTGTTGTTTATGTTGGTAACCTTTCTTAATCAAGCATATACTGTTTATTGTATATTGCTGAGGTATCCTCTTTTTTATATATATTTTCTGTATTTAATTTATATGTCTGTACTGATATTCAGTCAATACGAACATTTATATGTTGTTGATCTTCTTCTAACAAGCATATACACTTTATTGTTTATTGTTATTGAAGTAAATACAACCGACAAGATTGACAGTTTATATTTAACTAAATTTTGTTTACATTTCATTATTTAAGATTGCTTAAACTAATGCAAAACATACTAGATTATAACACTTTCTCCGCCCTTAATTTTTGACAAGGTTTAAGTTTTCCTGAAATCGTCGGATTCAAATCGATTTACATCCTTCCGAATACGACAACTTTTTCGAAGTTGAACTACTTCGGTAGAACGTTCTTCACTAGGCATTAATGTTGATTGGCTAGATGAAGGCGGTGTGGCATTGATGAAATTTGGAGCGAATTCAAAAATTGGTTGTGAAGAGAGGTCAGAGCTACTTCTAGTTTTAAGCTGATTAACATGACGTTTGATGTAACCAAAAGATGTGTTCACTCTGTAAACCATTTTACCAAGTTGTTTTACAATAACTCCTTTTATCCATTTTTCCCCTCTTGCGTAGTTTCGAGCGAAGACGGGTTGCTTTAGACTGAATTTCATTTTCCGTTTCGAAGCTTCAAGGTGCTTTCTAGGCGATTCAAACAGTTGACTCAACAAGGTACGAACAGGCCTTCCATGTAAAAGTTCTGCAGGTGATTTACCTTCAGCATTCGGCATTGCACGATATGTTGCAAGATATTTTGATACAGCGAATTTGAGAGACAATCCATCGTCAATGTTTTTCTGAACAGCAGTTTTAAAAGATCTGACGAATCGTTCGGCTAACCCGTTTGAGGCTGGATGAAACGGCGCTGTTGTTATATGTTTGATGCCAAGTTTTGAGCAAAAATGTTTGAATGCTTCAGCTGTAAATTGCGGACCATTGTCACTTACGATGGTTTCTGGTATACCTTCCAGAGAAAATATAGAAGACAATGCTGATATGGTGTCAGCCGTTGTTGTTGTAGATAGTTGTACAACGAACGGAAATTGTGAGAAAGCGTCGACACAAATTAGCCACATTGAATTACAAAATGGACCAGCAAAGTCGATATGTACTCTCTCCCAAGGTCGATCAGCTTCAGGCCAGCTTAAGTATTCACGTGTGTGAACAGGATTTGCAATTTTGCACACATCACAATTTTCAGTTAATTGTGCGATGTCTTTGTCAATATTAGTCCACCAGACATGTTGTCGAGCTAGCTGTTTCATTCTCGATACTCCCCAATGACCATCATGAAGAAGTTTAAGAATTTTCTGCTTAAGGGAGGCTGGAATGACAACCCGGTTGTACTCCGTCTGGAGGCAAAGCAAATTGTTGTTTAGTATTAAAGCAAAGCGATGATTGAAAAATGATCGAAGATCAGCATCTTGAGGCATTAGCTTTTCAGGCCAACCGTTTGTAACGAGAAAATAAACTCGGCGAAGAATTGGGTCATTTTTGGCATGCTGACGAATTATTTCAGCGTCGATAGGTGTGTTAAGTTCATTGATGTTGAAACAGGATTCTTCATGATCAAAAGTTTTGTCTTCACCAACAGGTAAACGAGATAAAGCATCGGCATTTCCATGCTCAGTAGTTTTACGATACCGAACATCATACTGATAAGCCATTAGTATAATAGCCCATCGCTGTAAACGATGTGACGTCATCGACGGCAACTGATGAATTGGATTAAAAATGCTAACAAGAGGTTTGTGGTCAGTAACCAAGGTGAATCTTCTTCCGTATAAATATTGATGGAAACGCTTGACTCCAAAAACGATAGCTAGTCCTTCCTTCTCTATCTGACTATATCGTCGTTGATGAATGTCGAGAGTTTTAGATGCAAAAGCAATAGGCCTTTCTGTACCGTCAACGTACGTATGCGAGAGCACGACTCCTATGCCATAGGAGGAGGCATCTGTAGCTAGAACCAACGGTAAATCTTCCTGATAATGTGCTAATTGCGCTGCATTGAGAATATGCGTTTTAAGAGCTATAAATGCTTGTTGTTGTGCTGTACCCCATGTGAATTTTACATTTTTTCGGCGCAGCATGTTGATTGGCGCGGATAATTGCGAAAAATTAGGTATAAAATTATGGTAATAGTTTACCTTACCCATGAATGCTTCTGCTTGCTTTAGATCTTTAGGCGGCTGCAGGTTTTTTACTGCTTTTAGTCCTGACTCATCTGGCAATATACCTTTTGCACTAATTTGACGCCCGAGATATTCGATTTTATCTCGCAGAAAGAAACATTTTTCTTGCTTGCACCTGATACCATTTTGTTGCAAAATACGAAGTACTTGTTCTAGGCGGCTGATGTGTTGTTGAAATGTAGGTGCGGAGATGATAATGTCATCGAGATAATTTCCGCAACCTTCTACGCCTTGAAGTAACTGCTCAAGATATCTTTGGAATATAGCTGGAGCGCTTGCAATTCCAAACGGTAAACGTTGGTATTGGAATAACCCAAGTGGAGTGTTGACAACCATTATTGTTTTTGCTTCATCGTCGAGTTCCATTTGTAAATACGCATCCTTAAGGTCGATTTTTGTAAAATGTTGACCGCAATTAATTTTATGGAAAAGACTTTCGCGTATGGGCAAAGGATATTGTTCAATGTCAATTTGCACATTGACTGCTTGTTTAAAATCCCCACAAATTCTTATGGAACCATCAGCTTTTGGCGCTAGTACAATAGGCGAAGCCCATTGGGAAAACTTCACAGGTTTCCAAATACCCGCATTTGTCAATCGATCGACTTCTTTCTTGAAAAGTGACATTTGCGAAAATGGAATTTGTCGGCTTTTGTAAAATTTCGGATGTGCATTTGGCTTTAAAAAAATACTGACCTTAAAGTTTTTTATTGTACCAAGAGCTGGTTCAAAAATATCACCATATTTCTTACACAGCTCGCTAATTCTGTGCGATTCACTAACTGATTCACAGTTACAAATTTGTTGAATCTCAAACCCGAATTCTTTAAATAAATCGAAACCGAATAAATTGTTACAGTTTTCGACATCCACGACAACGATTACCACTTCCCTTTCTTTTCCGCCACATTTGATATCTACGCAAAGTTCACCAAGCACTGGAATTTCATTTTTGCCAAAACCAAATAAGGTTTTTGTACAATTTCGCAACTTTGGGCAATTTAGAGTTTTGAATGTTCGCTTATTTATTAAAGAAACTGTTGCACCAGAATCCATTTGGAAAGACACAATTTTATTACAAATTTCCAAGTCAATGTAATTCTTATTGCTTTCAGTTTTTACAATACCTGTTAAACTGTTAATTGTTTCAACAGTACCAATGTTGTGACTTTTACGACGGTAATCTTTCTTCTTGTTTTCATCACCTAAATTACGTTTGTTGTTCTTGTTTTGTTTTGACATGCACACTGGCGCAATATGTCCAATTTTGCTACATCTATTGCAAACAGCATTTCTAAATTTACAGTTTTCTCTTGCATGAGAGTTTCCACAGCCAGAACATGATTTGAATTTTACTTTATTATTGTTATTGTTGAAAACACCCGGTTATTTTATAATTGTACCAACTGAATTAACAGGCATTGACTTTTCGATCGTTTGTTCTTTAATTGTTGCCACCGTTTTAGTGGTTGTTTCGTACAATTCTGCAATCTGCAAAACATCAGCAAGTGTCGGCTGGGGCTTTTGGAACGCAGCCGTGCGCACTGCATCGTGAGGTGTACGTATAATAATTTGGTCACGAATCATATCATCCACGAAATTGTGTAAACAATTCTGGGCTGAGCACGAAAAGTTACACTCTCTTGCCAATCCGCGGAGATCGGCTACCCACTCTCTGTATGATTGATGTGGCTTCATTTCCCTTTTTAAAAAATCGTAACGTGCAGCGACCACATGTCGTTTCGACTGGAAATGATCCGTTAGTTTTTTCGTTAAATTTTCGAAAGATTGTTCTTGTACTTTCGTGTTACCGAAAAGATTTTTTAGCAGCTCAAAATTTTCTGTGCCAATCCAAGACAAGAAAAATGATTTTTGTTTTTCACTGCACTGAACTGAATATGCTAAAAAATGTTGGTTAAGTTGTTCTAAGTACGATTCCCAGGTTTGCTGTTCTTTCGAAAATTTGTGAAATACTGGAACAATGTTGTTATTTCTTTCAGATACACCGGCAGTACCTTGTTTTTGGAACATTGAGTCCATCCACTCACGTTGTTGTTTCAGTAAATTTTTTGAGAACTCTTGTTGTTCTTTAAGCAATTGCTTATAAATTTCACTTTCGCCCGGCATGATTGTATTTAAAATTGAACGGTACGAAATAAGCGTGAAAGCGATTGAATAATTGCAGATTTTTATCCTCGTCGCCAACTGAAGTAAATACAACCGACAAGATTGACAGTTTATATTTAACTAAATTTTGTTTACATTTCATTATTTAAGATTGCTTAAACTAATGCAAAACATACTAGATTATAACAGTTATTATTTATAATCTTCTTTCAATGGTCACTTTATTTGTATTTAAAAATTTTTAGTCAAATTTTGGACACTTTTAAGTTTCGAAAAATTTTATCGTTTTTTCAAGTTTTGAAATATTTGTTTAGATTTAAAAAAATTTTTAGTTAAGTGTTTTTTTTTTAATATACTCATTTAAAAAATTTTAGTCACTTTTATGTGTTAATGTTTTTAGTGCACTTTCACCGCCAATCAGGCTTACCGACTGCGCCAGTTAAGTGTCCGTACGACTTATTAAAATAAAAAAATATTTTTATTAGAAGCATTCGCTTCAATTGTTAGCTTTATTTTGAACTTAATTATTTAAAATACAATATTTTATACATTAAAATATGCTTATGTAGCATATGTTTACATAATCAAGAAATAAATTTTAGTTCACATAAATATATGGTTACAATAATTATTGTGCTAAGAAATAAAATACAAAATATATGATATACGTATATACTCGTAGTGTGTCGCTGCATGTGCTGTGTCTGGGGCAATAACTTGTTATGTAACTGGGGTGTCACATAACTCGCGCCTGTGAAATTTGTTGCATTGCCACAATAAATACGCTGCGGCAGTCCACGACGTGCTATGAATCGTTTTAGGCCTAGAATGAAATTATTAGTGGATAAATCTGATATTAATTCAGTGTGAACTGCCTTTGATGAAAAGCAGACAAAAATTGTTATATAAGTTTTGTATGGGACTTTACTGCGAATACGATACGTTGTATAAAATGGTCCACATAAATAAACTCCTGATATTAGAAAAGGTCGGTTCGCAACTAATCGATCCGCTGGCAGCGAGCCCATGATTTGTTGTAGCAGCTTCGGTTTATAGTGGAAACAGTGTACGCAGTTACGCACTATCTTTCGAGCTACTTCCCGAGCATTAATTATCCATACTTGAGATCGTATTAGACTAATTAAAACCTTAGGGCCAATGTGCATGTGTTTACGATGTAAGTACTCCACAAAAATTTGAGAAAACCGATTATCACGTGGCAGTAAAGCTGAAAATTTTGCATTAAAACCTATTGGTGCATTGGTCAATCGTCCTCCTACTCGAATTATATTAAATGTTCCGCTTGCAGTGACCATTTTATCCAAAAAAGGGTTCAGTTTTTGCAAGTCTGGATTCAGGATTTTACCCGATTGAAGCGATGATATTACACTGTGATATGTACAATGTTGAAGGTGTGATATAATACGCCAAAATGATTCTTAAAATTCATGCACTGTAATTGGACTCACATCGTTTACGGTTTGATTTTTGTTTATTGGTACTTTGTTGAACACTCGAAGGATATATGATATTATTCGAACAATACGACGAAATGAGGAAAAATCGTCAATAATTTTATTGAATATATGTTCATCGATACCACTGTTGCTACATTTCAAGACTGTAGGTTTACGTTGTTCAAGGTCTTTTGCTAGAAGTTCAGTTGTCGATGTTTCTTTTGGCCTTTCTGCTAATGGAAGCGACAAAAACTTTGGTCCACAAGACTAAATCGAATCCTTCAGCTCGCGTGCTCGACAGCCTTGAGATACTATATCAGCTGGGTTTTGCTTACTTGGGACGTGACTCCACGTAATGCCGCGCGAATAGTCTTGCAGTTCAGAAACACGGTTAGCTACAAAACAATTTAAAGTTGACGAATGCATCTTCATCCAATGTAACACAATTTTAGAATCTGTCCAAGAAAAGATTTCATTAATAAATGGTAATACTTTAGGTTTTATTTTGTTTCAAGTTTTACAAAGAAGTACGGCAGCGCATAATTCTAAACGAGGCAGCGATACTGCTTTGATCGGCGCAACCTTTGATTTCGATATTAACAACGAGGATTTGTAAAAGCCATTATGCCTTGACCGAATATATATACAACATCCGAATGCTCGTTCAGAAGCATCGGCAAATTCGTGTACCTGACTGTAGCAAGCTGATGATGTTAAAACATATCTAGGTACTTCAATGTGGTTAAGATATTCCATATCAGATTGAATTTGTATGCATGATTGGTTTAGAATTGGAGGCAATGGATCATCCCAACCCAGTTGATGAATCCATAATTCCTGTATCAAGATTTTACATCGTATAACAATAGGACTCAATAGTCCCAAAAGATCAAAAATTCGAGCAACAACTGATAAAATAGTACGTTTGGTCGCAGCCTTTGACTCTTGTTGCTTATATTGAAAGCAAAAAACGTCATCTGGTGGCCTCCACGCCAAACCGAGAGCTTTGGTAATATCATTTTCGTTTAAAAGAATTTGGTATTCGTCACTTTACCCAATTTTTGTGGTTGGAGCTCCATTTTGCCAATTGTAATCCTGCATTTGCTGCTATCTTAGTCACTTGTGATACTTTGATGCAAAGCTCTTCAATTGTGTCTGCTCCCGTAAGCAATTCATCAACATACAAGTCATTTCTCAAAACTGAAGCTCCAATTGGCATCTCCTTCTGATACGCATTTGCAAGGTAAGTCAGGCTTCTGATGGCCAGAAATGGTGCTGGTGACATTCCGTAAGTTACTGTGTTGAGCTGAAAAAGTTGCAGAGGTTCATTAACAGTATTTCTCCAAATAACTAATTGAAAATTACGATCTCTTGGATCAACTACAAACTGTCGATACATTTTTGATATATCCGCAGTCAGTGCATAGCGATATAAACGAAATGTCAATAATGTCAAAATAAGATCCTGCTGAATTGTAGGTCCCACCATTAAGATTTCATTAAGTGATCGACCCAATGATGTGCGTGCAGATGCATCAAATACGACGCGTAATTTTGTTGTGGTACTTTGAGGCCGCAATATGCAATGATGAGGTATTATATAGTGCGGTGTGATATTGTCAAAGTTGTCGACACGACTCATATGACCTAACATCACATATTCTAGCATGAACTTAACATAATCCTCTTTGATAGTCTGCTGACGCTCTAATCGACGCCCAAGTGAAAGGAATCTTCGTTTTGCCATTTCAAATGATTCACCTAAAACTTCTGGAGACTCTTTAAATGGTAATCGAACTTGTATTTGACCATTACTCATAATTGGAGAATTTTCTACAAAATGTTTCTCACAATCCAACTCCTCCTTTGAGTAATTAATTTTACGATCGCTTTCTAATTCTTCAATTTTCCAAAATTTCTGTAATATTTTTTTTTTTTTAATTTTATTTTCTTTTATTGCGATCTGTCAATTCAGAGTAGACAATAAACAATATTTAAAAGTGACTAAATACTTAAAAGACCATTTTGAGCTTGAATAGACTGAGCTCAGTCTGTTGAAGTCAGACACATTAAAGTTCCAATGGCGTTTGTTTGCGAAGGCGTGTGAATGTTCTTCCTTCTGCTATAATTCTGCTCATAAAGAGGTTAGGATGATGTAACATACGTTTTTTGTGTTTACTGGCTTGGCTTTTTATGACATCCTTAACTACCGGAACGTTGAGATCGCGATGTATACATTCATTTGTATGCATTCGATGTATGCATTCAGGATATGCTTGGTAACCCTAATAAAGCAAAGTATTAAAAGTTCTCGAGCGCGGGGTATTTTTTTAAAATCTATTGGTATAATTGTGTTTAATTGGTGATACTCGGAAATTTTCTAACAATTAAAAGTGTCCGCTAACGCAGTGCAATTGAGTTCAGTGAATTAAGTGAACCAATAATTAAATTTACTTTGTAATTTAAAGTGAGACTTCGACAGACAAGAACTAGAATTACAGTTCCTGATAAAAACAAGCGAAAAGTATTTATATTCGCCGTGTTATATGCCGATATTATATATTCGCCGTGTTATATGTCGATATTTAAGTCGAGCTTTCAAACTAATTATTAAACTTTGGTAAAGCGAACGAATTTTTTGTTTTTAGGAACGGGGGTTGTTGTCATCACTATACGTGCTTGGGTGTGGAATGCCTGCAACTGGACCGTAATTAAACTGAAACAATAACTTTGAATTGTTTTAAAATCAAAGCTATTAATCTTCGACAAAATATAACAAGGGCGCCACCTATAACTGTCATTTGCATAAGAGATCAGTAGCGTCAAGAAGTCTATTTCGCTTCATGGAAAATACAAATACAACCAAGGCACAAATAACAGAGGAGAGTCATCAGCTCAGACAAACACCTACAAAAGTTACAGCAAAGCGTATGCGAAGCAGCCCTGGTGAACAACAAACTATCAACACAATGAATATACAAGATATGAAGGCGATGTTTGCTGAACTTTTAGATGACAAAATGAAAAATTTGGCAACGAAAACGGATATAGAGGATATAAAAGATAAGTTAGTAGAAAATGCGAATCAAATTCAAAGTCTGAAGGAAGAAAATGCTAAGCTTAGAGAAGAAATGCAACAAATTAAAGAATCGAAAGAAGTTGATAGCAGGCGAATATCACATTTGGAGAACCAAAGCAAGAGGAAAAATATTGTAATCCGCGGCCTAGCTTGTGATGCCAATCAACGGACATTCGATCGTGTAACTCAACTATGCAACGAAGTTCTAAATATTCCAAGCCCACTGCCGATAGCTTCGGTAAGAAAGTTAAGCGAGTACGACGGAAAGGTGAATGTCGTTGTAGAGTTGGACACAGCAAACTCTGTAGAAAAGCTGCTTAGCAAAAGTAAAAATCTAAAAGGGTCACAAATCACTTTAGAACGGGATCTTGATGCTGGTAAACTACTACATAAAAAACTTATGTTGATTTTAAAACAGAAAATTCTCACAGTAAGTAAAGTACACAGGGTCAGCGTTAGAAATGAAAAATTAAGAATTGGAGACTACTGGCTAAGGTGGAACAATAAAAATGAACTTGTTTGTAATGATCAAAAAGGCGAAATGGTTTTAAAAATATTGTATAAAGAATTAGCTACAAAAATAGATATTAATTATGTAAATCTTTTAAAAATATTAGAAAAGAAATAGGGACGCGCTGTCTGCGGAGGAAATGAAAATAGTAGTACTAGTAATATAGTTAATAATTTTAGAAACTTGCGTATTTTGTCATACAATATAAACGGTTTAAAAAATAAAATGATCTTTCCAGATTTTTTCGAATTCGTCAAAGGCCATGATATATTTTGTTTTCTAGAAACACATATAGAGGAGAAAGACTTGGAAAACTATAAAAAATTTTTCTCGGGTTTCGAATTACATTTCAAAAAAGCTACTAGAACAAGTCAATTCGGCCGTGCTAGTGGTGGAGAAATGTATGGAATTAAAAAAGAACTAAGGAATGCTGGCTTTATGTATTGCTTTGAAAATATAAATAATATTAACATTATCAACATAAAAACAAAATATATAAATTTCAAAATAGTCCCGTTATATCTAAACTGTAACGATTGGGAAAATAATTTCCAACAACTGGCAAATCATCTGGTGGAGGAAAACGTTGAAAATACAATTTTAATTGGCGATTTAAATGTCAGAATAGGAAATATACAGCAAAACATTGAAGAAATATTTTTAAATGAATTTAAATCAGGCGTTGAGTGTAGACAATCAAAAGACGTAGTCGCTAACAGCAGAGGAAAAAAGTTTATTGAGCTGTGCTGTGATTATGGCCAAATAGTGCTTAATGGAAGAACGGCAGGAGACATAGAAGGCAACGTCACATATATAAGTAGTAATGGTTCTGCGGTAAATGATTTATGCACAGTTTCACAAGAAATGCTGACATATGTAGAAACCTTTACGGTAGAAGAAAGAGAATGGTCCGATCATATGCCTTTGGTGATAAGTTTAAAATTGCAATGTGAAATACAACAAAACACGGAACGAAAACTGCTTCCGACCCTCAAATGGAAAGATGCAAATAGGGTTCAATATAGCAAAAAACTTAAGGAAAATATAAGGACAAAGCTGCAAAATAAAACACATCTAGACTTATCAGATTTAACTGATGTTATACTAAAATCTACTCCCAAAATACGAAAATGTAAGGGATTCTATACCAAAAAATCAAAATGGTATAACTTCCGATGCTTTGTCGCGAAGAAAAAAGCTAAACACTTGTTGAGAAAATATAGAAGAACAGAGAGCAGCGCTACTAGAGCAAATTACTTAGAAGCAAATAAGAAATATAAAGATGTATGTCTGAAAAGTAAAGCTGAATATTATAGAAATCTAGAGACACGTATAAACACAATTAAAAATGGCAAAGAATGGTGGAAGCTAGTTAAAGAGCTAAGAAATAGGCCTTTAATAAATGAGGTACGAATTGCACCAAATGAGTTTAAGACACACTTTGAAAATCTTCTTAATCACACGCAAACGGCGAAAGATGTGCATTATGCTCCAAACTTTATAGAAATAGACGAGCTCGACAAACCTATAATGGTGGGTGAGATATTGCAGGTCTTGAAAAAAGCGAAAGACGGAAAAGCACCAGGTTTAGATAGAATCCCTTACGAATTTTACAAAAATGCAAATACGGAATTTTTAGAGCAACTCGCGAAGGCATACAACCAGATGTACGACTCAGGAAGGGCAGATTCAAGTTCTGAACCGAGTATAATATTTCCAATACACAAGAAGGGAGATAGTTCAGTTGTAACCAATTATAGGGGTGTGGCATTTATGAACACAAAAGCAAAAATATTGATGGGTGTGCTCAATGAAAGATTATCCAGTTGGGTTGAAAACAATAACATCATGTCTGAATACCAAGCAGGATTTCGTAAAAACTATTCCACGGTTGACAACCTATACAATCTAACATCCATCGTAAAGTTGAAATTTAATGAAAAAAAGAAAGTATACGCTGTGTTTATAGATCTAAAGGCGGCTTTTGATAAAATCGCTAGAAAATTACTTATGTACAAACTGAGGAGCATAGGCGTTTCAAGCAAATTTGCAGATTTTATTGAGCAGATTTACGAGACGACAAATTCGGTAGTTTGGAACGGAAGCGAAGTATCTGACAGTTTTAGCACAATTTCTGGTGTCAAACAAGGTTGTTTGCTTTCCCCCCTTCTGTTTGCGTTATATCTCAACGACTTACACGATTATTTGGACGGTGGTTTGCAGGTGGAAGAACTGAATATAAGGCTGTTGTTATATGCAGATGATATAGTCATCTTGTCCGATGATGCAGAAACGCTACAGAAAATGATATGGAATCTTGAAACATACTGCGACAGTTGGAATTTAGAGGTAAATTTAGCCAAATCGGCAGTCATGGTGTTTAGAAAAGGCGGTAGGCTGTCTAGTAGAGAAAGGTGGACATACAAAGGGGAAGTGCTTAAAATAGTCGCTGAATATACATATTTAGGGGTAACGCTCACGCCAAAAATGATATTTAAAAAACACCTGGAAAACAGGAATATATCTGCAAAATCAAGCATAAATGCCACTTGGAGTACGTATTTAAATAACGATAAAATTTCAATCAGGGCAAAGTGGCAAATGTTCAATGCTATTTGTAGAGCCATACAAGGCTATGCGGCGCAAATTTGGGGAAGTGACATGTTTAGCGAAATAGACAAATTACAATGCTACTTCTTCAAAAGAATTTACAGGCTTCCCAATTTCACTCCAACCTACGCCATAATGCTGGAATCAAATATGGAAAGCGGGCATTTGTACACAATGGACTTGCATTTAAGATACGTCTACAAGACTTTGTTTGAATATAATGAAAGGAGATTGGCAAGAATATTGTCACAAAAAGTTCTGCAAAAAAATGTATTTTGGGCAGAGAGACTAAACGTTTTGGGAAATGAGTCAAGCCTAGTTTGGAATGATGAAACAACAAGCCAAGAATGGAAGAACAATAATTTCGTATTATTAAATCACTTAAAAGTGGAAAACAGAGTAAAAATGTGGCGAAAAGCATTGAGAAGTGAAAGCAGAATTTATAAGTACCTAGACCATAACTTGGGGGCTCAATATTTTACAGAAAGCTTCAGTCGTGCGCACATAATGTGGATTTTTAAGGCGAGATGCGACTTAATTCATTTAGATGGCAAATACAATAGAAACTGTACACTGTGCAATCTCAATGAAACGGAAAGCATACAGCACTTCTTAGGCCGCTGTCCTATATTAAGGCCGTTTAGACGAATTTGTTTTGAGAGAGAAACGTTAGTGGAAGAGGAAGTAATCAATGTGCTTAATGGGGAAAATGATCCTAACTGGAAAAAATTGATTAACTATATTACTAGTGCTTTAAAATACAGAAAACTAATTATAAATGAATTTAATACTTTTTAATTAATATTTAAAAGCATATACAATTAATTTAAATTCTGTATAATTCCTTTTTGTATTGTAAATATAAATTAAGTTTGTAAATTTAAATTTTGTAAATTCTTAATTTTAATTTTGTAAATTTTAAATTTTAATTTTCTAAACGTTATGCAAGAAAGTAAATTTATTTTAAACCAACATCTCCGACAGACGACTATAAGTCATTGTCGTATTCTTTGTTTGTTCAATTCAATATTTTTAAGTTACTATAATGTTTT